CTCCAGCCCGTAACAACCATGAAACAATGGAACACTGCAGGGCAGATAACATGGCCCCGCGTGCGACACCGTGGTGACCCACGGTCACTCTGTTGCCAGCCAGGGGCACGCACAGGTCCAGGCACGAGGCTGGGGATCAGATCTGGGTGCACGGGGGGATCCACGCAGGGATGCAGGTGCACGGTCCGAGCGCACAGGCAGATCCAGGCGCCCAGGCGGACCGAGCCCGTCAAGCCCCGGAGCTACCGCACCTGCGTGGCTACTGGAACTGCCCCAGGGCCCTGCAGCCGGGCGGCTGCCCAGCGCCACTCATGCCTCCCAAGTGCCCAGGCAGCCCCGGGCTCCCGGCGCCTCCGCTCCGCTTTGCTCAGGCAAGACTCGCGCTCACGGCTTTCAGCGTCCTCGGGATCCCCCTTCCCCAGGTCCGGGCGGGTCCGAGCGACCGGCTGCAGGGAGGATCTCGGACACCAGTACCTGCGCGGAGGGGTAGCGAGGGAAGGAGGCGGAGGCGGAGGCGGAGGCGGAGGCGGAGTGTCCTTGTCCTTGCCCCGCCCCCCCGCCTTCCAGTCCAGCCAATGAGCGGGCCCCAAGCGCCAACGCACGGGAGCCCCCGGCGGGTTGAGCAGCCGACCAATCAGAGCACCGCAGCCTTTGGCCCGGAAGTGCGAGGTGCTGGGGCCGGAAGCGCTACTTTACGAACAGGTTCGCGGGAGATCTATAGGTAAGGTGAGGTCGGGGTGGGGGGAGGTGTGGGTGTTGGGGGGTGGTTAACAGCTGCGGGGTGGGGAGAGTAGTGCCACCCTTCCCCTGTGTGCGGGGGGGCCCTGCCCTGCCCTGTTATCCCGTGGAGGGGAGGCTGAGGCAAGGCTGCGCTCCCCCAGCCTTCCTGAAACACCTTGGGACGAGGGGCAGGAGCTGCTTCCTCTGCCTGGGGCTCATCTGGGCCCCTTCCTGGTGCTTTCGGGCTGGTCCCCTGCTGCATATGGGGATGTCCTGAAGCCCCTTCCAGCTTTGCTGCTGTGTGTTAACTCTGTGATGCCAAAGCCCCTATGGAGCAGGCAGGGCCCCACAGTCAGAAAATGTCTGTGTCTGACTTCTCATGCCCCAATGCTGTTGGTAGGATCATGTCCCAGGTGTTTTCTTCTCAAGCATGTGGTTTGTTTGGGCGGGTTTTTTTGTCTGGGAATATTTGTTGTAGCCATGTTAAAGAACAGCTCTTTTACAAATAAAATTTCCTACCCAGGAGAACCATACAGCCCTTTACCTCCCCCATGTAATACAAGGTTTTATTTCTACCTCAGAGAAATTTTACGGTCTTTCAATTCATCTTTGCCCAATGAAGAACGTTTGGGCCCAGAAGCTTGCAAATAAAGACTTTTTTTTGTAACTGTCTAATTTGTTTAATAAAAGATATTACCCTTACCCCAAGAAGCTTTGTCTGGGGGTGGGAGTGTGTGTGTGCATGCGCACGTGCGGTTTGTTTGTTTAAATCTCCTCCTCCTGTAACAGTTGTTGCTTCTATGCCACCTCCATCTTACCACTGAAATGAAGCAAGACTCTGTTAGGAGCGCTGCCTATGCTGTGGACTGTGAGGATTACGTGCACGTGGTGGAGTTCAGTCCGTTTGATAGTGGAGAGGCATGTTCCCTAATTGCATATGGTGGCAACAATTATGTCGTTGTTGGGACTTGCAGGTTTCAAGTGAGTGGGTTTTTTCTATTTTTTTTAACTGAATATTTGCAGTTTGGGGGGTTAATTCATCTTTAAAAGGAATGGTTAAGGAGTGCATTGGAGCCACAGCATTTTTTTTTCCTTTATAAAAGCACTTTGAGTTGGGCCCATTTTGTTTTTAGATTCCAGCATAATTGTTCTTCAGGCATGTATGTTCATAGAAATTCACTTCAATGAAAATTATGTATATTACTGTGTGGTTTGATTCTGCTAATATAGCTTCTTTTTGATCACTGAATAAGACACAAAAATAATAGATCTTTTCTCTTGGAAAGAAAGTTCAGTTTCTATGTCTTTTGGAATGTAGGTAATTGCTACCTGGGGAGTTGTGCAGCTGTTAGTTTGGACTGTGCCTGGTGAACTGGAGATGTGCTGTGTGTGTTTACAAAGTGCCATAATTTATCATATCTGATTCAACTCTTCTTCCCAGAGCACTAAATCCCAATCTGTATGAATCTATTACTTATGGACTGACTTCCAGCCAATGGCTGTGATACCAGAAATTAATAATTACTTGCCATATTTCCTCAAATATAAGATGAGGCTTTTTCCCCATTCGGGGGGGGGGGTGGAAACCTCTTGCTTGGAACAGAGTTTGGGCCAGGCAAACAGCTGCTCCTGTTCAAGATGCAGCCATGGTAGCTTGTGTGGCAGGTAGGAGGTGTTCAGGGAAGGGGCATACGGTGTGAGGGGACATGGGAGGGGGGGATGCATGGAGAAAGGTGCACACAGAGCATGGAGAAACGGTATGCAGGGAGCACAGTGCAGAGGGGAACACGGTGGGGGGGAAGCACAGTGTGGGGGAGCTCATGAGAACGGGTGGCCGGGCAGCATGGGTGAATGGATGTATGGTATGAGGAGAGCACAGGGCAAGGGTTTGTAGGAATACAGGGAAGGGACACAGAGGAAGGGGTTGCAGCGGGGAGTATGGGTGAAGGGATGCATAGAGCAAGGGGAGTGTGGGGAAAGGGACATGGGGGATGAGGTGTGGAAGGGGCCACTCCATGCAAGGGGAAGCGCAGGGGAAAGGGCATGCAGATACAGCAGGTAGCACAGGGCAGGAACACATGGAGCAAGGGGAGTGTGGGGAAAGGGACACTTAGGGTGCAGGGCAAGTGGAGTACAGAGCACAAGGGGCACAGGGAAGGGGCATGCAATGAAGGGAGAGCACTAGGAAAGGGGGACACAGCAGGTGGAGCACAGGGAAGAGAGAATGTGGAGCAGCAGGCACAGTGCTGCAACTCCAGTCTTAAACCTGACTGCAGCTGGAGGCTGAAGCCGGACCTGCTGCTATTGCCTGGCGTTTAACTTTCTGTACCTCCTTTATGCCTCCCCCAACCTTGAAATTGACAGGACCTAGTCAGTTCAGGGCTGCTTACAAAACCTTCAAGTTGAGGCTTTTGCTTCACTTTACAAATTATATAGGTAAACAGAATGTAGTTATGGTAAAACGGAGACAGCAGTGCAGAAGAGATCCTATGCATAATCTTTATTTGTTACGTAATCAGTAGGCAAAAAAATTAGAACTGGCATTATGTTATACAGTTAAATTATGCACCTATTCAGTATACATATAGGTGGTAGTCTTTGCATAATTTGTGTTGGCCAATTGTTAGGTAAAAACAAAATGCTGTCTTGTGAGCATATAAGCATCAAGAGTCAATGTAAATTATTTTTAAAACGGTGCTTAACTTCAACAATACAAAGCATTTCTTTTCAGTGAACATGTTTGGAAACCTAGAGGGGAGTGTTCTAGAAACTGGATCTAGTTTCTGAAATTCTTACCTGAATCTATCTGTGTATAAAAGAACGTTATTTATGCATCCAGTGATCCAACAGCATTTACAATAGCAATATAGCAGGGACATGTTCATAGAACTTTTTTTTTCTATTCCTTCCAGTAGATGAAACAACTTGGTAATAAGCTTTTTATAAGTTCTTGTGGTCATCTTTGATGCCTCTACTACCAGTGTAGCCTCTACCTTTTTTTCTTTTTTTTTGTTTGGAGTAGATAGTCCATGCATGCTGGAAACATTCATTACTACAGACTTAACTTGAAAGAAGCTATCTGTATCTTGTTGACTGTGTGCTGCTTTTTTCTTTTTCTTTTCTTGGTTCTTGTCAAAAGATGGCTAATACTTGTATGCATGTGAAACTTCTTCCCCACCCCCCACAAAAGCTCCAATGCATTGCATCTTAACTAAACCTATGAAGTCATGATCTGAAACGATGACAGGCTTAGTCTCCCTGCATACACACATTTTTAACCTTGTTTCCAAGACTAACAAAGATGTAAATTGTAATCTTAGATTTGTGATGTATACGCTTGTTCAGTAGAAACTGAATATCAGCACCTCACTTTACATGTCATAGGTCACTCAATATTATTATTTGTGTTCTGTGATTTGTCGCTGTACAGACCTACAAAGAGGGCATGGACTCTTTCATAATGAGTTGACAGTCTAAAAGGCAACCGAGTAATTATTTTTGGTCACTACTAGTGGAGACTGATCTAGAATTAAAAGGTTTTTGTCTTACTAATAGTCTTCAGGACCATTTTCTTGATAAACTTATTGTGCTACTTTATTTAGGAGGAGGCTGCAGAAGTGGAAGGAATACAATATAAGATGCTAAGAACATTTCATCATGGGATCAGAGTTGATGCCATAGCATGGAGTCCAGAAACCAGACTCAATTCTTTACCTCCCCAGATAAGGTATTTTTAAAAGCACTTGAGTACAAGAACAACATGACTTGAAGAAAGGCTGAAAGAACTACAACTTTTTATGGAGAAAAGATGACTGAGGGAGGGGGGTTTGATAACAGTCTGCATGTACAAGAAGGGTGATAGCAGTATTGCCAACCCCACCATGTCAAAAATCACAGGGCAAACTCTTTAAAAATCAAGAGATTTGTCATGTAAATCATGAGATGCTGTTTTTGAAGTATGGGGTCTATAGGGGTGTATGGGGTTTGCAGCCCAGAGAGGGAGGGTCCCCGCACACCCTGGCAGGATGAGGGGTACCATGAATGAGGCTGGGGGGGAGGAGGGCACGGTAACCACCAGCAGGCAGAGGCGTGGTGGTGGCAAGGGGGGAGCTCCTGCAGGTAGCCACAACAGTATTGAGGAGGGAGGTGTCGAGCGCTGACCAGCGGTCGGTGACTACCCACAGATGCCATCAGAGGCTGGAGGGTGGTGGTGAGCGGTGACCGCCCACAGGCACCACCAGCAGTGGCAGCGCTTCTTTCAGGGGTGGCACCGCCAATCTCGGGATATACATGCACCCCCTACGTGTCACCAGTGCAGGGTACTGAGGAGTACGGGGCAGCAGTAGGGCTGGGGGGGCTATGGCTTGGCAGGAAGCGGCAGACACACAGAGAGAGACGGCACCGAGCTGGTAAGAGGAGGGGTAGGGGGGAAAGATCAAGGCCTCCATGGCATGGGAGGGAGTGGGACAGGAGGAGGGGCTGGGGTGATTGGGGCCCCAGGGGTGGGGCAGGTCATCCAGAGCAATGGGGAGGAGAGGGGGATGGCTCCCTGCAGCTGCACACACTTCCCAGGGGAGGAATGGGGAGCACGTGCTTCCTGCTGCCTTTGCCCCGAGAGCTCAGCTGTGCGATGCCAGTGTGCTTCCTGCCATCAGGCGGGCAGGGGACGCGCTATGCGGCTAGCACTCCTTGCATCCCCTGCCCTCCCGGCAGGCAGTGACAGCATCACACGGCTGAACTCCCCAGACAAGGACAGCAGGGCGCAGAGCTCCGAGCCTGTGGCGGGCAGCCTGCCTCTGCCCTGGGGGTGCAGACGCCTCCCCCAGAGGTGTGTGCAGCTGCAGGGAGCTGCACCTTCTGCTCCACTCCCACCCCCACGCCTCTGGACAACCTGCCCTGGCCGCAGAACCCCATTCATCCCAGCCTCTGCTCCTGCCCCAATCCCACCCTTACCATGGGGTCCTTGATCTGCCTCTGCCCCTTCCCTCTCCCCTGCCCCTTCCTCGCCACAGATTTACCAGCTGGGAAAATCTGGAGACTTTAGGGTTCGATGGGGAGATCATGAGTCAGTTATTTTGACTTAGAAATCACAAGTCTTGCAATGTTTTTGTGACCGTTGGCATTACTGTGATGAAGCTCTTCTCTGTGGCCATGGTAGGTAGGACTAGGCACAGTGACCTCAAGCTGCATGAAAGGAAATTTGGGTTGTAGGTTAGGAAGAATTTTCTCACTATGAGGGTTTTTAAACATTAAAACAGGCTGTCCACAAGTTGTGGAATCTCTATCCAAGGAACTTTTCAAGAATAGGTTAGACAGACACTTGGCCTGGATGGTTTAGTCAGGTATGATCTTGCCTTGAGCAGGGGACTGGACTACATGCCCCCCCTGCCCCTACCGAGGGTCCCTTCCAGCCCTACTTTCTTAAGATTCTTTGAAATGTACTTGTGTGTCCAAAATATTTAGGAGGGGGTTGCAATTAAACTCTCTTCTGATTGACCTGTATTCAAAAAAACAATTAATTTGTTTTATCACTCTAAAGGCTGTTATTGCCAAAAGGTAGTGATAAGTGGTGGGTGGGTGGGTGTGCGGGCACACATGCACATGTAGGCATAATAATATGAATTTGTTCTTCTAAAAACATGAAGTGCAATGTAAGCTTGTTGGCCACTTACCAGATTTCCATCCTAACTCAGTGATGCAAAATAATTAAAGGGTTTTTCTGTTTATCTAATCCTTGTAGGTTTTGTACTGCAGCTGCTGATGGGAAGTTAAGGCTGTTCACTTCAGACCTCCAGGAGAAGAATGAATATAAGGTAAGAAAAAATTAATTAATTAGGATTGAATTAGATGTTGTTAACCTTGTTAATCATAGAAAATGTATTTAAACTGCTGCCAAAAGCAGTGTGTGCTCAGTAATGGAAATAAACTATGGAGTTGATCAAATACAGCTAACACTGAGCATGACTATAGAACACATGGCCCATAATGGGCAAACATACTGATGGGAGCCTACTGCTGGGGTTTTATTGTTTTGTTTTTGTTTTTAATTTCATTTCTCCAGCCAAATTAATCAAATCAGTTCCAAATTCCACCCACTGAGCAGAGCTCAGTTATTCAGGTCCATGTGGTATTACCGCTGGCAAGTATCTTACCTCCCAGACTCTTCAGCCTAGGCCTTTAGATACTCCCAGAGTGATGGCAGGCATCTTATGTGCAAGCCCAGAAGTTTTGGGATTCAGATGGCCCCAAGTCTTACTTGCCCTTAGCCAAAAGACGAAAGGAGCCAAGCTAGAGAGAAATCCCACATTCCATAAAATAAAGTGTGTAGCTGAGATCCTCCCATTGGGAGCAGACTCTCGTAGGGTTGCCTGCCCACAGTGCAATGGACAAGTCTTCACCCTCAAGTCCACAAAGCCATTCAAGGTTAGGGAGAAGGGCTTCTTCCTTCCAGGTACAGCAAAATCGCATAAACCAATACTACTTCCACCATGGTGTTGATCATGACATAGTATTGCCCCTGCCAGGTACTTGTACAGGATATTAGTCTAAAGCCGAAAGGCTCATGATCTACCATGTAGGTCCTTCAGCTGGGCCCCAGCAGAGTCAGCAGCATTTTCAAACCATGGTGATCCATAGCTCAGCATTGCTCAGTATTTGTGTGTATTCCAGACACCACCCTGCCCAACAAAGGATCCATGTGCTAATTAGTGCCTCCCCACCACTCATGAGTGGAACCAGGTGTTCTTGTTACAAGTCCTGGAATCCTCCAAAAATGTATATGCAGATTCAAGGGCAGAATAACCTGGTCCAGCTCCTCTTCATGGAGGGCAGGGACACAATAATTGTATGTGGTAGGGGGGTGAACTGTTTGTGTCCCCGTTTAGTGATGGGCAGCTCAGATGTGGGACTGAAGAGGAAATCAAAATATATTCAATGTAGTAGCTCACTATGACTTGAAAGAGAGTCAGCGCTGAGGGGGGCTGAGTGCAATAGGCACTATCGTATATATTATTCAGACAGGCTGCACTAATCTTTGTGGTAGGCTTCCATCAGGTAAGCTGAGCTGCACCTGTCTTTTCCATTTCCAATAATGCCTCTTTCTTCACCAGTCTTAAATGTCTGGCAAGCATCACTAAACGGGGCCCCAAACAGTTCACCCCTCTCCCACAGCCTGCCACATATGATTAGAGTGACCCTATCCTCCATGAGGTGGAACTGAACCACATTGCCCTGTGCCTGAATCTGTATATACATTTTTGGAGGATCCCAGGACTCATGACAAGACCAACTAGTTTCTGTCATACGTGGGGGCTAATTCATAGATTGTAAGGTGCCAAAAGGGACCTCACACGATCATTGGGTTCAGCCCCTCTGCCCTAGGCAGAACAGAACTGGGGTCAGGTGACCCCAGCAAGGTGACTGTCTAGTCTCCTCTTGAAGATTTCCAGGGTAGGTGATTGCACCACCTCTGGAGGGAGTTTATTCCACAGTCTGGACACTTTAACTGTGAAGAAGTTTCCTAGTGTTAAGCCTGAAACAGTCTTCCAGGAGTTTTGTGGCCATTACTCTTGATTTTCCCCAAGGGTGCCCTGGTGAATGGTTGTTGGCTGAGCCCTTGATGTATTCCCCTAATATAGCAGTAAGCTGCTACCAAGTCCCCTCTCAGCCTTCTCTTTTTTAGGCTGAAGAGACCCGAGTCCCTCAGCCTTTCCTCATATGGCTTGCCTTGCAAGTCTCTGATCATATGGGTAGCCCTTCCCTGGACTCTCTTGAGCTTTTGCACACCCCTGTTGAAGTGCAGCACCCAGAACTTGGCGCAGTACTCCAGCTGCAGTTTCACCAATGTTGAGTAAAGCAGAAGAATCACTTCCTTGGTTTTGCTTGAGATGGATCAGTTGATGCTTGCCAGAGTATTGTTTGCCCTGCTGGCTACAGCATTGCGTTGATGACTCATGTTCATACTACGGTCTACTATTATCCTGAGGTGTTGGGGCGGGGGAAAAAAATCACAATTTTTTAAAATCAAATCTTGAAGCTGAAAAGGGGGGATAAAGCAAAATGCCGCGTTTATTGATTTATGAGAGGTGGATACATGATCTTAAGCACACCACTCATACAAACATACACATATCACTATGCACATCGTCATACATAAACGCACATACACAAAACAACCACTCCATCTAGCAGTTATAGTTACCAGCAGCAGTTGCTCAGTATTAGCACTGGGTGGCCAGCCCAGGCCTATTGAGGTGGGGATGAAGATTGAAGCTGGAGCAGGGTGAACAGATGCGCCTGTGCTCCGAAGAAAGCAGCAGCAATCAAGATGGTTCACCCAACCTGGCATTACTCAGATCCTTCTTTATAGGAGTTGCCAGTCTTTGTTCAGCATTTTGGGGGTTTTTCATGCTCAGTCTCTGTTTTCGAAGTTTCTCATCCATCTTCTGATTATCTCAACTCGGTCGTGTTGGTCGTAAAAGTTGGTATCTCAGCCTTGAAGTATTCTGCCAGGTGGGCTGCAAGGACATGCAGCATTCCTTTCCCTCATCATCTTGTGTGTGCGCCAGGTCTCAAGCAGATTCTTCATCCATCCATTAATTAGTTCACTGACTGGTAATTTACATGCTGGCGCCTTGTTGCTTACACAAACAGTTAAATATTCCCATTCTCTTACCATTCACCCTTTCACATAACTCCTTTTCATATGCAGGGCCATGCAAAGTTCATTCACTCATGTCAAGCAAAAAGGCAAATACAAAATTGAGTTTAGCTATTAATGAAATACAGAAATAAAGGTTTGTCAATTCATTGAGCCATTTATGAAATGCAGAAATAAAGGTTTATCAGTTCAACACTACTATTATTTAAAATAAAACTAACACACGCACAATGTTAATGCATAAAAATAGAAATTCAGACTACAGTGACAGGGCAACCTGACTCCCCCAGATGTTACAGCAGGGAAAACACAGTGAGAGGTGAACAAATTCAAGGCAAGCCTCCAATAATTAGGTTCTAGACCTGGAAAATTATAACTAATTTGTAAATGTTCCATATGTAGAATCTAATTATTGAGGAGATGATTTTATATTCGGGATTATTTTATGCTAAAGTAAATACAATATTTCTGCTTAATATATCAATGATTCTACATATGAAAGATAAAATATGAATGTGTCAAAGTTGCTGAAAAATACCAACCAATAAAATTAATATAATCACAGTTTCCTAATGTATAGTCGTTTTAAGCCTTTGATATAAGGATATATATCATTCTATTACATTTTATTGAGAAAGAAGTAATAAACAATTCAGCCCTAAAGTGCACTGTGGAATATCAAAACTTGTTCTGGACTGGCCAGTGTTAGCCAGCCCAGTAAAACAAGGCATGCTTGATACCTTAATTTTCCAGTCACACAGAGATGAAAGTTCAAGGAAACTAGGCTGACAACTAGATGTTGAAATTTATAGTGAACATATGGTGGAATTTTGATTGATCCAACATAACAACATATGTTTTATGTAACAAAGGACTCTCTCCAGAGAGGCACAAAACATGCAAAACCAATTGCATGTTTTGTCTGTGGTTATAGTCTGGCTAATTACTAAACATTTTGTGTTTAATAGTAAACAATTGCATTTAGCACTTTGGGAAGGATTTGACAGAAAAGTCTGACAGCCTCAGTGGAAAAAACAACTTGCTCCAACTATCAACACAGAATTGGAAGCATATAAGAACAATATCAAAAACTGGTTCAGAGAAACTTTGTGTTACTTCGGCAACCTGAATAGTCCTAAATACAAGATCAAGGCTGAGCTCAGATCAAGAAGCAGAGGGTGAAATCTGTCTGATTGTTCACAAGCACGTAAGAATTGCTTCTTTGTGAACATTTAGATTTGAAGATGTTATTCTTCTGCTTTGAATACATTTGTGTGAAGAAGTGTGACAATTCATTGCATCAAAACATTGGAGAAATTATGGAAGTAAAACCATGAAAGATAGGATACTTGAATTGAGAACTTTGTCAGTTTTTCAGAAGACTTGTGCTTCTGTCCAGACAGCTCAGAAACATTTAAATGTGATATTTATCATATTCTGTTGGTTTTCATCAAATAGCATGAGAGGTACTGAAAATGCAAACAAGTTGGTAAAAGTATATCGCTATCCAAGGGCAGATAAAAATGAATAGTAGGCCTAATAAGCCAGTGGACTAGAAATTCACATGTAGGGGAAGGACCTACTGTTTGTTCAAAGATGCTGTGCTGCTGAATCAGTTTCTTGTATGGGTAAATTATATTCAGTAGTCTAAAGTAAATATTAAAACCAAGAAATTAGACTGGAACAATAGTAATATATAGATTAATTTTAGAAACAGTTTCTATACATTTATACACCTTTCCTCCTAACTATGTAGAATGCCAGCTTCATTGTAAATTTGCCTGCTTTTCCTGTAACAAACTTCTGGAACGCTCAAATACTAGTATTTATCAGAAGTGCTTTCGACTTCAGGATAAGTCTCTCTTTCTTATTAACAGATTTTTGATGGCCACTCAGATTACATTAATGACTTGGTATTTGCACCTAAAGAAGGTCAGGTGATTGCAAGTGTAGGAGATGATCACACCTGCAGGTATGTATCCTGTGGATAAATGTGACTATGAAATGTCAAGTTTACTATTTCTTCATTTTGGCTAGAATATCTGAAAACCAGAGCAACTGAGAATATTTAAACAAAACTTTGAAATATTTAAAAATAAAAGGGTTTTGTTTTTTTTAAATAATATGTAATTACTGAAAATGTCAGTCAGCTGCCTTAAGGAAAGAGATATTAAGTAGTTTGACAATTAATTGTTTCATTGTTAAGGCACAACCTCTGTCATGTATCTTTCTCTTTTACTTTATCCAATCAAGTCAGATGTTCTCGGTTACATAAAAGGGAAATCTGTCTATTCCTAGACTGTTACTTAGGCTGAGGAGAGCAGTAGTCCCCAGAGCAGAGCAAACATAGTCAAAGCTACTTTCCTCCATCCCCATCTCTGGGTTTATCTTGTGAATTATGTGTACATGTTTGCACGCTTAATACTGTGTGGCAGTCTGTGTAACCCTTAAAAGGATCTCACAGCACCCTGCTTGAGAATCATTACTCTACCTCCTCCTTGGGATGACTCAAAGATCAGTTTGAAAGAAAAAGATATTGCAGGTCCAAGCTAAGGAAGCACTCTCAAATAAAACCCATATACACATTCTTACCATGGATTAGATTCTCAAGGACCAAAGCCACATATTGGATTATGCAGCTCTAATGGTTCAGTTTAGCAATGAAGAGAGGACATTACAAGGAATGAGAGAAAGATGATCCCATGATGCAAAGGGAAGCAGAAGACCAAACATTTGGGGACTGTGAAGACTTCTGAGAAGGGAAGACTGACAGATCAACTATGACTTCTATGATTTTATGGTTTAAGTTAATGACATAACAGTTAGTGAATAGATTAAGCAGTCAAATGACAGTCTAACTTTTTAAAGTAACGTTTCTGTTTTTAAGTTGCATATGTTGAATGGCTTTAAAAAGGCAATACCTGAAGAGTGATTATAAAGAGGATGGAGATAGCATTTTCTCTATGACTGCAAGGGACAGGATTAGGAGAAATGTCCTCAAAACTGCATCAGAGGAAATTTAGGTTGAAAATTGGGAAGTACTTTCTAATTATGAATGTGGTCAAGAATTGAAACAGTCTGCGTAGAGAAGTGTGGAATTTCTATCCCTGGAACTTTCTAAGATAAGGTTAGATGGACACGTAATGAAAATTGGTTGAATTGGTTACTACCCATAGAAAATTTAGAAGTCTTATTTTGGCTAGCAGAAGGTTTCTGTATAACCTCATTTCCATCAAGCATACAAAAGTCTTCTAATTTTTATAAGAATGAAAAAAATGTAAGATCTACTAAGGGCCTTAGCTGGTTCACTTCCTCTTTAGGTTCTTCTTTGGACTAGTACAGTCTTTCTTCAGAAAAAAAGAGTTGATTGAATGTTTTAAATAATTAAATGTTATAAAAGAATGTTTCATAGATAAAGAAATTAGTTAAAATGCAGTTATTGGTTTGACACTAACAGAATAAAATAGTGTAATGAAAGTTTGCCACCAAAATTGAACTCTAACTTGAAAATATAAAGCAGAAACTTTATCCACAAAACTATAAAGTCTTTGGTTAACAGCCATGGGAAGTAAGCAGGATTTGTTTGGCCACCAAAGTTCTCATTTTTTCCATTCTTGCAAAAGAAATGTGGAGCAGGAAGATGTATTTTTTTAATTGAATATAAAAGTTACACTTCAAAAGCCAAAGGAGAATGCATTCCCTTGGATTTACCAAGATCATATTTAATTTACTGTGTAATTTGGTTCTTCAACAAAAATGTGAGAAGAGAAACAATTTTTCTGGCTGTAAATTTCTCTTAAGACATCTGTTAATGGTTTTGATATGCAATACTAGAACAACTAGTACAAGAACACAAACTTCCCAGTATTTGAGGGTGTTGTCCTTACGTTGCTAGATTTCACCATTACTGTCTAACAGTGGTTTTACTGTATTAACCATAAGCGAGTTAAATCACTTTCAATGTACAGCTGTTACAAAAAAATGTAGAAATATCTCTGAATTTTCCCTAGTCACCTCTCTACCACAATAGAATTAGTGAAGATTTAAAGAAACTAGATAAATCAGAGAGGTACATATTTCATGCACTAAAAAAACTGTTGGTATGTTACCTCAACATGACATTTCAGTGTGGAACCAACTTGGTTCCATCACTTGGATGGAAGGCTTCCAATAAAAGCCTAGGTGCAAACGCTCCATTCAGAGGTGGTCTCCCTTGTGAATCAGTGCTTCATAAGTCTTCTAGTTCAGCAGTTCTCACTACTACATAGAAAGCTAGCTGGTCACATAATAAAGATTTCTCCTTAATTCCAGTTACAAAATTTGAATTAAAAAGTTAAAATATTCTTTCAATGAGAGCAACTGCGTTAGTCATCACAGAGATGTAATGGGAAAGAAAATGGTATGTGCAGTTAGTTTGGAGGAGAGGCATCAATGAGATGATTCTTGTATTAAATATATTCTATGTGATGTTATTTTAAGAATCCACGCTAAGTATAGTTTTAATATGTTAATCTGAAAGTGCCATTTGTCAGCTGATGACAAACCTGCCTTGGCCATTTAAGTTGTTAATGAAATCAAAGGTGCAAGTCATCTTACCTAACATTGTACCTGCAGATTCAAGAAAGGAAAAAAAAACCACCTTTTTTCCCTGCACTGATGTATATCTGAGTATTTATGCTAAAGCTGAATTTCAAATATTAAAAAAAGTGCTGGCTACTGGTACAAGACCTGAAAATCTGCTTGACATTCCTCTCTCCAGTACCCTTAACAGTCACTGGAGGGGCTATCACTGGTAGAAGGGCTGCAATTTGTAGATGTAGGTGTCTGTCAGATGCTTCTGTGGACTCACAGCATGTAAATCAAAAGTAGATATATGTCCTTTCCTACTGCAGTATCTGCAGTAACTCCCCACCACCCATATTTCTGGTGTTAGGAGTTGACTAGGACATGGGTGATCAGCCCGGGTCTTGACACTAAAGAGTCAGGAGCAGTCAAAGTTTGGAAGCAAGGGTCCCAACATAGTCACAAGCCAGAGGATCAGGAGCAGACAGAGCCAGGAGCCAAAAGCCAGAAGCAGGTGTCCAGACTGGAACCACAAGCCAGGGTGTCAGGAGCCACCAAGTTGGGAAGTAGGGGTCAGCAGGCAGGAACCAACAAGCAGGAACAAGGATTCGGGCATATGAGCCAAGGAGAAAGGCATCTGTCCCCTGGGTACTGAAAAGGCCACTGCCTGTAAGCAGGCAATCATTCCTGTGCGGGTAACCAGAGCCAGTTTGGGGCTAGCCTGCCTGTTGTCCCAACTCCTTTGACATGTGGGAAAGATATATAGTTGTCTCATTACCCTGTTTTTTGTGTCTGTGTAATTTTGCTTTGCTACCCCGTGTATAACTATTCATATCCTTTCAGTTTAGAGTACTCATGCCATAGTGCAAATTGTTTTATGGACACACACAGAAATTTTCCTGCAGATCCTAATTGGATTCTATCTTCTTTGTTTCGCATGACCGCATGTTTTGCTAGTGTGTGTGACCTTGGGGTTAAATTAGCTTCCTAGGTGGAGATAGTGGGGAGGAGATTTGACATTCAAAATTGGATTAACTAGAATGCCAAAACTTAAGGCAGGGGCTAGTAGTTTTCATAGGGTGTGGACAGAAAATGTTTGAAGCATTTCATGTTTGAAATGCTTCAAAGGGCAAGAGGACACATGTTCATAGATTTTTAGGGTCGGAAGGGACCTATTAGACCATCGAGTCTGGCCCCCTGCCCTGGGCAGGAAAGAGCACTGGGGTCAGATGACCCCAGCCAGGGGGTCAGATGACCCCAGCCAGGTGTTTGTCCAATCTCCTCTTAAATAACTCCAAGGAAGGGGACAGCACCACCTCCTTTGGAAGCATATTCCCTATTTTGGCAACCTTCACTGTAAAGAATTTTTTCCTGGTGTGTCCAATCTGAATTTGCTCTCCTTCAATTTGTGACCATTGCTTCTAGTTACCCCGATGGGCGCCCTGGTAAACATTGTATCCCCTATTTCCTGCTGTCTCCATTTCCCCCCCATGAGCTTGTAGGCGGCCACAAGATCACCTCTCAGCCTTCTGTTACGAAAGCTGAAGAGATTCAGGTCCCTCAGTCGGTTTCGTAGGGTTTTTCATGTAGTCCTTTAACCAGGCGGGTGGCCCTCCTCTGAACCCTTTCCAGGTTATCTACATCCCTCTTGAAGTGCAGCGCTCTTGATGTTCTTCAAGGTGTTCTGAAAAAGGTGGAAGCACTCTCAAAATAACCCTGAAGAAAGCAAATACTATTTTTAGAAGCACAGTGGGGAAGACTGTCAGTGAGCTCTCTCCTATGTACTCTACCTCAGCTCTCCCACAGTGCCCCTCTCTTCTCCAGAATCAGGAGGGCACAGGTCCCTCACCTCCCAGTTCTGGTGGGGGAGTGCTCTGGGTAAACAGGGTGTACAACACCATGCTCACTGATGGTTAGCTCTGTTCCCCTCCCTTTCTCCCTCCCCACCCTGTTGTTTGTGGGGCAGGGAGTAGAGCCACAGGTTGCAGCAGCCCTTGGGAGACTCCAAAGTTATAAGAACCAAAATAAAAGCTAGCTAAGAATGACTCTGCATGGCTATCATCTTCCCTCGGCCTTCCAGTTATTTGTTCTTTAAAACGCTGCCAAGACTTGTTCCTGGGTGACACCTTTTTTTTTTTTTTTTTTTTAATTCAATAAATGATGCAGTCTTTGGATAGCAATGCCAAAAATCACTCTGTCCTCATTTGCTCCTGCCTCCAGCAGTGTTTAACATCTGTGTTACCCTTCCCTTTGTTGCACTTGCATTAAGATTATTGTTTAGCCAAGAATTAAAACTTTTTATGTTCCTCTGTTGTTTTTTCTTTGGCCTGTTTGTTGTGGCAGGACACCTACTCTAGTGTTTAATGTGTCCAAGTCGTAACAAACATTTCTTTTTTTAATGATTAAGAC